CCCTTGCACTGCCTGGGTGCAGCCCTTAAACAAGCCTCTTGGCCTCTCAAAAGAGGGGGGTCAGATGGCTCCTGAGGACCCCCCCAGGGTCCTAACTTTTAGCAGCCCAATTTCTCTATTCCTGGGAAACAGAAGTTTCTTATGGAAAGAGAGTTTGGAGATGCAGTCAGAAAGGACAGGGGAGGAGCCTGAAAGAAAAATGAGGGAAAAACTCCAAAAATCTTCGTGTAGAACCCAGACCATCTTCAGAGCCAAGATGTCCCCTTGTTTCCCAGAACTGGATGGGAAGAGGTGAATGGAGTTGAGGTCCCTCCTTCCATTTTCTCTGAAAAGCACCCCTTGGCCTTTGGCTCTGGTTCCTCTTTATTTCCTAGGAGAGATAGCAGATGAATCCTGAGCTCAGAGAGCTCAACCCCTTGGTGAAACCCCTCTCTCAGCAGATTTCCCCCGCTCCAGCCCATCCTGAGCCCCCTTTGCCTGCCCGAACAGCAGCAGCAGCACCAAGAACAGAGAAAACAGGGCGTGCATGCAAACAGGGTAGAAGGTCCCCACTTCCCAGCTAAGGTCAACATCTGTAGAGACTTAGGTTTCAGACAGGGGTTCACACTGAGTCATCTACATTTTTAAGGACTGTCAGCAACTTTTCCATGTTCCCTGTAATAAGCCCCAATTTCCGGCTTGCTGGGAAGATCCTGCCCTGGACAGACATCCATTGTACTCCTAGGAAAATTAATGGAGTGAGTTTGAATTGGAGAGGTGAGATGAAACCCAACTAGAGGTCTGACTTCCAAAACAGTGATGTCCAAAGCCTGCCTCTTCCTAACCTAAGAAAGGGGCCAGTGAGAGTGACAAGTCTCCAAGCCCTTCCCTGCAGTGCCACTTTGCCATCTTTCTAGGAGATAAAGACACCATTTTGTCCATCCACCTGTTCTGGGCAAGATGACACTCAGCCCCAAAAGTGAAGGAACTGATAGCTCCTCTTCTAAAAAGACCAGTAATTCAGTTCTTTCTCCATGTCCCTATAGCTACCAGAAAATATCTATTTCCTTTCATCAAGAGAAACAAAAACTAAGACCCACTAGGAAACCAAAGTATGGAGGAAATAGGTTTATTGGGACATCCCTGCTATTCCTGTGCTGGGTTATTTAAAGTAGCTCATGTAGCCATCCTGTGCCTTGGTTTCTTCATCCAAAAGGAAAAATGAAAGAGAGCAGAAGAAAAGGTAAGGAGACAACAGATTAACGGATGAACAGATTAACAGATGGATTAGCAGATGGCTCTCAACAAAGGAAATAATGCATTGTGCTGTAAATTACTATTGGCTCAAACAACACTGGGGAAGAAACAGAAAGAGAAACAGAGATAGGCTGCAGTCCCCAGTGCTCAACCCTGCTGGGAGGTCTGAAAGAGAAGCCAACACAAACACCACCACAGCCCCACTCCTCACTGGCCTGGGAATTGCCTCCCCTCACACTGGGCTTCCTGCTGGTGGAGTTTCTCAGCATGGGTGTCTGAAACCAGAATTTGTCCTTAACCCTATGCAAAGGGGACTTTCCTGTTTGTTTGTTTCTTCATCCCATCTCAAGTCTGGTTGCCTTCTTCCCTGTGATCTCAGCTTCTCCTTGGCAGAGTAGATCTTTGGGGGATGGGAAGGATTGGGGGAAAGAAATAGTATCCAGTCTCCAGGACCATCCAGAAAATATCTCCCAAACTAAAGAGGCCAGATCCCTCTGCAAACATGTTCACCAGCAAAGTCAGGCCTGAGAGGCCAGCATGGAGCACCTGAGGGCCTTTTATGGAGACAATGTCCTTTTTCCCTTCTTTCTCTAGAAATGCTCCCACTTGGTATACAAAATCACTCAATGTCGTACTGTCTGTCCTCATAACACCAAAGTCGTTAGAATGAACAAATGTTCATGACTACCTACTATGGACCATGTCCCTGGGGGAAATGCAGTGAAATAAAAAATACAGTCCCTAACTACAAGGAGCCTACCACAAAAGTCAGATCAGCTCAGAGATCACTTATCCCAACCAGCATATTTACAACATAATAGAGCTGAAGTCCAGAGAAGTGATGTTTGTGGCACAGTCCAGACTAAAAACAAGACTCATTGCCTCCTGTTGAGATCAGACTCACACACATGACATGACAATGTGGGCACAAAACAAGATTTCAAACAATTAGGGCTGGTTTTCCAGACATTGAGGACAATATTATAGGACAATGGACTTTGAACAAATTTCAAAAGACAATGACAATTTGAAAAGTCAGAGGAGTTTTCCTTGGAGAAGGTGGGACAAAATGGGGAAGAATCAGATCGTTGGAAAAATAGGACTTTTTATTGATTGAGCCAAGATTTCACAAATCCTTATTGGGCTCCTACTCTGTGAGGACTGTTCAATGCTCAGTGAACATAATTTTTCAGTTCTGGCTTTCATGGAGCTTGCTTGTGGGAGGAACAACTAGGCTGGAGTAGACAGAAAAGTCCCCAAATTACCAAGAGGCAAGGCAGCAGCCAGCCTCTTTCATAGAGTTCCTCCTTATTTGGGTGAATAAAGGCATCCAACAGAAGGTCTTCAGAGAGAACTGCCTGGAAACCAGAAAATGGAAGGGGTCACTCATGATGGCTGTTCAAGGAAGCTGTGTTTCAAAACATGATTTGCCATCTTCTCTATAGACATTAGAAATACAGGGAGTGGGCCTTGAACTACATTCTGTCTTCTATTCAACCAACTTTTGCTAAGAACCTCCTACATGCAAGAGTGCTTGGTTCTTGAATGAGGATGATGGCAGGGGAGAGAGAAGGAGGAACAGAAAGAAGTTATCAGGCTCTATTGAGATTTTTTTTGAAAGGTCTCAATATAAGGTATAAAGGAGGAAGAAGAAAAGGTTGGATGATGTGTCCAGTATCAGGGAAGTTGGGGATGGTGGATATCTCCTGCTCAGACTTTTACCCTGACCTCCAGACCCATATACCAAACAATCATTCAGTATCTCTATTTGGAAGTCTCAAAGGAATCTCAAACCCAAAATGTCTTAGACCAAAATCATGATCATCATTGCCCCCATGCTTGGCTTTTATCCCAGTGAGTGGCACGAACTTCTAGACAGCTGCATCACACAGAAATAAAATCCATGCCTTTGATACCCTCTACTCTCACCAACCAAATCCAATCCATCACCAAGTCTTTGTCTCCTATCTACATCTCTACAACCTAAGCAACACCCACTGGCCCGGGCTTAAGCCATTTTCAAATATTTCTCTCCTGAACCCCGACTATTGGCAATAGCCTCTCCCTTTATTCACCACTTCCCCATCAATCCATCTGCCATCTAATCTTATCATGTCATCCTCTTAAACATTTTTCCATGGCTCCCCAGTGTACCTGAGCTTGTCTGCTATCTGCTTCTCTCTCCAACCTCATCTTGCACCATGTTGAGAAGTAATTATTCACCGATTAGTGTAGATGTCTGATTAATAACTTTTTCCCCTACTAGGATGAAAACTCCATGAACTCAGAGTCTATGTCTGTTTTTACCCACTACTATTTTCCTAGCACCTAAATGCATGGCACATACTACATGATCAATAAATATTTGCAGACTGACTTTTTTAAAATGGCTAAGCCAATGGTTCTCAACCAGGGGTAATTTTTGCCCCTCCCTCCCCCTAGCAATGTTTGGATACATTTTTGGTTGTCACAGCTGTAGGGGTTCTACTGGCATCTAAAGGGTACAGGCCAGGAATGCTGCCAAATGCACAAGGAAATGTGAAAATTAGTAAAAGGAAACTTCAGCTAAGATTGGAATTGGAAGTACTCATACAGGGAGCTCTCACACCCTACCACTCATGGCCAATCATGCCAAAAAGAAGATACTACTTACTGACCCCAACAGGAAGACATCAGGCACTGACCCCAACAGGAAGTGTAACTAGTTTACTTCCCCCAGCAGGAGGAAGGAAGACTTCCATCACCCAGCAACAAGCCCAGCCAATGGAAAGGGCCACAACTCAGCCAATAAGAAGACATTATCACCTGAACTTTTACTTTCCTCCAATGAACTCTCATTATTTCCTTGCTGATGACTTCCTTTCCCTGTCCAGCTCTCCTCACTATAAAAGCCTTCCAGGGGCTTCTCTCTTCCCTCGTGGCGCAGTGGTTGGGAGTCCGCCTGCTGATGCAACGGACGCGGGTTCGTGCCCCGGTCCAGGAGGATCCCACGTGCCGCGGAGCGGCTGGGCCCATGGGCCATGGCCGCTGGGCCTGCGCGTCCGGAGCCTGTGCCCCGGGGCGGGAGGGGCCACAGCAGTGAGAGGCCCGCATACCGCAAAAAAAAAAAAAAAAAAAAAAAAAAGCCTTCCATGTGGTATAACCCGTTGGAGTATCTCTCTGTCTGCTAGGTGAGATGCTGCCTGGTTCAAGAATCATTTAATAAAGCTAATTAGATCTTCAAATTTACTCAGTTAAATTTTGTTTTTTAACAAAGGTCACACATATTTAGCCCAGCAGTGCTCAGGTTGAGAAAACTTGGTTTAGATGAAAGAGAAAGAATATTTAGTTTTGGTCATATTGAACTGGATTTCCTAGAGTCACGTCCTTATAGAAACACATTTGTTATCCCCCGATGCCATAAGGGAGACTTAAACATGATGCATATACACACACTCAACAACCATTAAATTTCCTACAAGCAGGAGATACCTATTTTAATGGCTCTTGTACTCTCCAGGTGCCCAGCACGGGGCTAGAATTTAGGTGCTCAATAACACCTGTCTGGAAAACCTCGCTTATCATTAAAAAAAGACCTCAAAATTGAGGGTAGCCTTGAGCTACATTAGAGGGGCCACCTTATTTCACATATATTACCAAAGTGTAACAAAGGCTAGTGACATCACAGTGGAGCCCTGCCCACCTGCTAAGCCACGCCCCCTTCACAGTCACAATCACTAAGGCCTTAAATACCCAGACTTGTGGCCTCCCGGCTCTACAAAGCCCCTCATTTTGGCAGAAAGTACAATGTCGACCAGCCGCAAATTAAAGAGTCCCAGCATGAGGAAGGGCAAGAACCAAGCTCCTCACAAGGGAGTCAAGAGAGGTGGCAGCAAAAGAAAATACCAGAAGGGCAGCCTGAAGAGTAGCAAGCGGTACAATGACGGTGAGTGAGGGATGCGTAGGAGAGCAGTCAAACAGAGGGGGAGCTTGCTGTCCCGTGGGCCCTCGCTCTTGGACTTACCTCTCATAGGACCCTGAAACCTCAGCATGAGAATTTCATTCCCAACTAGGTTCATGTATGGGCAGGAAGAGGATGAATGGTCATGTTCTAACTGGTGTTCCTGTTGCAAACTTGTCCTTTCCCTCCAGCCAATTGCAATTCCCGCTCCCACTTGTGACTCCACCAGCGGGCTCTGCCCTGGTGGACTTCAAACGACACCAGGCAGCAACAGAGAACAGAAGGGGGACTGCCAAGGAGATCTGAAGTTAGATCAAAGCCAGAGAAGAGCCTATCATGTGGATAAAATGTCAGTCGTGACGAAGTGAGGAATGTATATATGTTGGCTGTTTCTCCCCAACATTTCAATAAACATTTGAAAACTGAATTTCAGTTTCCTTTGATCCTTTGGTTGGAAAATGGCCCCTGAGCTGGGCAGCCTTGGGGAAGAATTAGCAGGTATGAAACCATTAAACATCAAACATGATTTGGATAATATCAATGTCAATGTAATTTTCCTTAACAACTCTCTCTCCTTGTGCCCCAACTCTGGCTATGCACCATCACCATATTTGGGTCTTGGTCTCAATGTACTGTCTCCCTTCCCAACATGGAAAGGGAGAGGAGATAAAAGAAATGGGAGAAATACATTCATCAGAGTGCCAGTTATGAGCCAAAGGAAGCAAGCTGGTTTTGTCAAGGGCCTTAGAGCATGGAAACACCAAACTGTGATTTCCCAAACTAGCTAGCTAAAGACATGTCCCAGTGGTGGATAGAGAACCCTCAGTGCTTCTAATTTATCTGATTGTATGGGCATGATTAGCAGGCTGTTGGAGATGAGGATATATTCTGGGCAGAGGCCAGCGTGATATTTGGACAAGACCAGAGGCAGGGATACTGCCTGGGAGATTCAAGCCAGCTTGTGTGACTCTGATGTCATAAATGAATCTTAATCAGGTGTGTCTGGAAGTAGGAATGACCTCACCTCAGTCTGGGTGGACCTTATTGGCAAGGAAGAACCATCCCTTGCTGTGGTCCTCACTTTAGCTTGACCTTGGGTTCTGATAACGGTTATGTCATCTCTGGCCAGGGATCTGACACCTCCTCTCAGCATCCACCCGCTCAGGAGGGGGCAATATTTTTCTTAATGAGTGTTTCCTGTTGCCTCAGAGACAGTACCAGGGTGGCACAGAGAGGAATTGAGACTCATATTTAAACCAGGCCACCCACTTGGATTCTGGAGAAGCAACCAGGAAAGGTTATAAGCCAGAAGGAATGAGAGGAGCATGAGGTCAGACATGAAGTTTCCAACATGGGCGGGGTGGGGCGGGGTGGGGGGGAAGGTGAGATGTGGGACCAGGTGACAAAGCGAGGAAAGGGAGCCTCTTTCTCTGCACAGCTCCACGTATTTTCAATGAGATCCTTGACTCTGAGCCCTGTGGAGCTGTCTAGGTATTGGGATATGGGGATGGGAACAAGGGCTATCCCTGTGGGTCAGATTCTAGTAGGGAAGGATGAGAAAAAGCCCATGACATGAGTAAAGATGTTTCAAGTTGCTTTGTCCTCTTAGCCCTAGAGAATGCACACACTGCTCCTGAGCTAAGTCAGCATCAGGCACCCAGACTCTTCAAAACTCATCAAACTTGTATTTCCCTCCTTATTTTTTGTTTCCATTTTTGTAAAGAGGGAATAGAGAAAATACTCCCTTCATAACATTCATCTTCCACAGTTTTACCTCTTAAACATTCCTGTTGTCCCTGTTTTTCGAACCAAACTCAAACTCATATGATTCTCAAGTAGATAATTATCCACATTCACACAAAACTCTTTACAGATTCAACTGGAATCCCCAATCAGAAATGACCAGTTCTCACATACTCTTGTGCCCTTTGGGAGTTCCTCTGCCTCCATGTAAAGAAAGCCTGAAAGCTCCTTGCAGCACACAAAATCCAGTTGTTTTACTGTCAGGCTTTTGGGGCTCTAGCCATAAATTCTCATTCATCAGCCAGCAGGGAGTACAGCCAGTTAGAATTCCTACATGGGTCCAAAATAGCGAAGGCTTTATATCGCCTCCTGCCCAGCAGGCTGCTTAGGG